ACCATCTGTTTGTATACTTACCCCTTACAAACTGTGTGGAGTATTGCCAGCGTGGCCTACTCACAATGCCCAAGTCAAACCATGTTGGTCTGGCACCCAAGACCAACACCAGGTTACTATGCTTAGGAAAAGCGGGCTTTGCAATGCTCCTGCATGATGAGCCCATCCCTGCCTGAGCTTTCACAGGCTCTGGAGGGACTCCCCTTCACTTGTCTCACTCTAGGTCAGTGCTCTTCTCCAGACACATTGAGCATGCAGTGAGGGCCTGGATCCCCTGCTTTCCCAGGCATGCCCAGCCCCATTGACAGCACATCACAATGCTGTTGTATTCATTGTTCATGCATGAGAACTTTATAACCAAGTGTTTTAAATTGTGAGAGAAAAGAAAGCTTCAGCGATTCAAGTAAGTTTACAACTTTGTGCTGGGCTTAATTCCTAGCTCCTTGGCCACATGCTGTCTGGGGCGCAGCTTAATCACCCACGGGAGCGATTTCCTCTTCCCTCATTTCCAGCTTTGCTATCTCCCTCACCCTCCTCTGAATTCTTGTAGACTTGTCACTCTGCTCAGTTTGATTTGGCAAGTTGCCCTCTTACCGCACCCACCATCTGCCTTCCATCTCCAGAAGCCAGGTCCCTTTCTTTGCTTCCTTCCATTTATTACTTCCTGGAACACTGTACAAATTACTTGTTTGTTGGGTCACTGTTTTCACTCTGCACCAATGTAAGTTCACCACAGCGGGGAGCTCAGCCCTTCACCAAGTGAACTGGGTGTCAACAGAAACAATGCTGTGGGGCAGTGGTGGCGCACGCCTTTAATTCCAGCACTAGGGAGGCAGAGGCGGGCTGTCTGTTCGAGACCAGCCTGGTCTACAGAGTGAGTTCCAGGACAGTCAGGGTTACACTGTCTTGAAAAACAAACACTCAAACAAAACCAAAACAACCAACAACAAAAAACCACAATGCTTAAAAGATAAAAATCATGTGTAGTAGACAATAGCTTCACGACAGAGAATTCAGTAACTCTAAACATTTTTGAATGTTCTAATCATGATGCACAATTTACAAACACTGTGAAAATCCAGTCCCTCTATATTTAGCTAGTATAATAATCTACGTGTGATAATCCTATGCTGGGTTCAAAACTGGCATCAATATGGTTAAAAGAAAAAAAATTTCAAAATCTTGGGATGGTAGAGGGAATAAATCTGAAGGAGAAAATGACAAGGGCGTTGGCCTGCTGGCCTCAATTGGCCCTGTGGAAAAGTAGCTGGCTTCTGCAGATGCCCCTCATCTGTGTTCTGTCATTGTGTGGCACAGCTTTTCTTTCCTTAGGGGAGACAGCTCTGCAGGCTGGTAGTGTGAACTTGGGAGATGGTAGCCCCAGGTTCCGGACACTCTGACTTTAAAAGATCTTTTGATTGTCTATAGCTTTGTGAGTCCGGAAATCTGAGAGCAGGATCCCACTGCAGGGCGTGTTTCTGGTATCTCATGGCATCCCAGATGTTGTTGGCTGTATCTGCAGCAACCTAACCACATAGCTGCACTGGATGTTCAAGCTGGGTGCTTGCACTGGCTGCCAAATGGAACTGTCTGGTTTCCCAAAGACAGACGTGAACTGTGTGACATTTTTCCTGGCCTAGCCTCAGAATCGCATAGTTTCTTTTACCAGTTTCCCAGACAGTTACCAAGGTTAGCCTAATGAGTCACCATGTTCACTGAAAGTTGTCCAGTTTTAAGGGGAAAAAGACAGATGCCAAGCCTTCACAGGAGGAAGATCTGCAGTTCTGTGGAAATAGCTTGAGAAACTCAACAGCACCCACACAATCTTGAAGCTGAGGGTAGAGTTCCTAGGGTTCCCATGACAAGCCGAACTCCCAAAGCAGACTGCTGTTTTAGGAAGGCCAGAAACACCTCAGAACAGCCCCCATGGCCCACCTTTATAACCCATCTGTACCGCCATCTGACCGCCACTTCAAGCCTTTGACAGATGTGCCAGCAGCTTGCCAGGGAAAGGGGGTGGTGCGGATGACGGCTCTGAGGAATTCACACCCAACTGCCCCACGTCGGGCTCACTTCCTGAGAGAATTCACCTCACTTATTTTCACTGCTCCACAGAGCACCTGACGCAGACAACTCAAGTACCACTACTATTTTAAACAAGATGTGCTGCTGTGCTTTAACGACCAACTTACAAAGAGGCTAAGGGTCAGTGAATGGCAAGCGTGTTCCCCTCCACCCACCCACCCTTCGGCTTGGGCTTGAACTCAGGGCTTTGAACTTCTCAGGCAAGTGCTTTACCACTGAACAACATCCTTGAAACACCACTCAAATCTCTTTGTTGAGCCTGACAATATGTTCATGAAGCTATCCACAAATTCCCTACTAATAGTTAGAGGGGCTGCCAAGATGTCTCAGTGGGTGTGCCTTAGCATCCACACATCTCCCCTCCAACAGATAATTGTAAAAACTTTTTTGTTTTACAAGTTAGAGAGATGATGACAAGGACAAAGATATAGCTGGAGAAGAAGGAGGGACACGAGACCATCTTAGAATGCCCACTGGGAATGGGGCAGGCTGAGTGGGTTTACAGAGGACACCATGATTGGAGACACGCTGCCCCAGCTGTGTAGATGGGAGGCTGACAGGAGCAGGGAGACTGATGGAGAGGGTGGCCCGCACATGGGGACAGAAGCTGTTGGGTGAGAAGTATCTGCTATTGAGCTATTTCTTGAAGGAACAGCTGACAGGCTTTGCGCTGGGTTTGTGTCTGCAAGCCTGCCTAGCTTTATTCATCACTAATTTTCACTCTTTTAGTGTGTAAAATAATTCCTCTGACTCCAACTGCTTGAGGAAAACGGCACAAGATTTTCTTCAGATTCAGCATCTCAACGAATGGGAAGAAAGGTGCTTAGTTCTGTGAATAAGCGGATGACATCTAAGAGATCTAGGAAATCAAAGGGCTAAAGGCTTCCAGGGCAGAGGTCTTGTGTGATGGCCATTGAAGACACAGACAGGCTGGCTCCTACTTCAAGAAGCTTTCATGCAAAGGAAGAAGCATGTGTGTGCCCACGCGTGTGTGTGTATGTGTGTTTGTGTGTATGTGTGTGTGCGCGCGTGCTACTTGTTATCATGCATGTGCTTAGTCTCAGGTCATTAGTTCAAGCATCCAGTAAGAGACTAGGGTTTAGTTTAGTGGCAGAGCATGTGCTTAGCATGTTCTGGGCTTCCGGTGTTAGCACCTAACAAAAACAAACAAACAACAGCAAGCCTGTGGCATCTGGCTCATGTGAGGATCTATTCCTAGATTTCTGAGGAACCTCCATATTGGTTTCCATAGTGGCTGCACCAGTTTGCATTGCCACCCACGGTGAATAAGTGTCCCCCTTTCCCACAGCGACACTAACATTTGTGATCCTTTGGCTTTCTGACTGGCAGAAAAATCTCAGTTTTAATTTGTATTTCCCTAAGAGCTAATGATGGTAACATTAAAAAATAAAATAAAATAGTGTGTCAGCCAACTTCTCTGCTTCTGGTCTATTGCCTAGATGTAACATGCGCAATACAAGCTTCTGCTGCCCCATCATGACGCATTCCCTAAAACCCAGAGTCAGTAAATCCTCTCTTCTCTAAAAATGCCTCTGCCTCCTCTTTATTTCTAGTATGTATTTCATTTTTGACTATGTGTATGTGGGTGAGAGCGAGAGGGGTATGCATGCATGAGTGCAGGGGTACTCGGAGGCCAGAGGAGGGCAAGGAACCCTTAGAGTCACGGTTTGTTATGAGCAGCTTGATGCGGGTGCTAAGAACCAAACTCAGGGCCCTGCCGGAGCGGTATCTGTCCTGAACTGCAGAGCCATCTCCCCAGGCCCAGTTCTTCCTGCTTTATGGTGCATATTGGAAATGAGAAAATAGAATTTCAAGATGTGAAAACGGAACACTGCTGTACAAACTAGAACACACCGCTGTTGAAACCCACGCCTCCTCCCCCGCCCCAAATCCGCACACCTCTACCACGATGAATGCAAACAATCAAGCTACATTTCTGGCTCATGGCGTCCATCTTAGGCCCAGAGCAGCAGCGCTCTACGGTTGGCTCATACTGTCCTTTCTCCATGTGCTCCCATGACTACAATGAGAAGCTTCTTCCCTACTGCTAAGCAGATCTCAGGGTGTTAGACAACACGGTTGCAGCAAGAGCCGAGAAAACACACAGCCTGACACACACAGCAACGAAGAACGGCAATGCATCAAAAACGCTGGGAAGACATACAATGGAAGTCTAATGGGACTTTCTCTGAGTGGTAGGAGTAGACTGAACAGCACTTAAGTAGAACCTTATTTTATTGTTTGCTTTTTGAGACAGGGTCTCACGCAGGTTGGCCTCCAAGTTTTCTGTGTGGTTCAGCTCCTTCTGTCCATACCCTCCAACTGTTGGGATTATGGGTGTTTCACCATGTCCAGGTCCTTTTCTATCATAAAAATGTTTGATGCAGAGAGGAAAGACAGTGATGTCCAGTTTTGAGAAACACATAGGAATTGACTAGTTAGGCCAATATCTTACTGCACTAGCGGATGATTCAGTTCGCCTGGGTCTGATCCAACATATCTGACCTCACAAGGCTGAGCTGTGAGCACGGAAGTAGAGCTGGGACCAGGATGTCTCTTCTCTATTCAGCTCTGTGAGAGTTATTCTGAGCTACACTGACTGGTGACTCATCAAAGTATCCCAGACTTCGGTAGAGACCACACCACCCTCCTAGCCTGCCATGCAAAAGCTGTGTGGAGAAGGTGCCTGCCTTGAAGTCAGATACACAGACAGATGGACTCTTTTTCACTTTGCCATCTGGAAAATGCAAATGGAAGACAAACTTGAGGGGTGATATTAGAGATGATGCCGGTAACTTGCCCAGAGCACACGGGATGCCAAGTGTAACACAAACATAGATATGCCCTGTGCTATGTCCAGAGCAAACGGAACAAACACAAATAAAGCAGCATGGTAACAAGCAAGGGAGATTTTATTATATGCATGTTCTCAGGAAAAAAAAAAATAAACCCAACAAAAAAAGCTCCACAAAAACGAACCCACAAATAGAACGAAAAAAATTTTCCAGCCTCTCTGGGATACACAGGACACATTATTATAGGGAAACATAGCTGTACAAGGACAAATTGGATTACTTAATGTCACCTTTTGTTTTCCAAGTCAAAAAGGGCTACAGAAACACTTTAAATTGTTCTCTGATAGAAATTTTGCTACATAATTAAACTTCAACTTACTCAAGAGTTACTGTATAGTAAACTGCAGAAAACAGATAAGACATTCAATACTTTGCTCACAATTAACAATTAAGCATTAGACACTTTTAGAAATTAGCATGTATTACTTATTTGTTAAGCCTCCCATTTATAATGAGCAGATCATTTTCATTAATAGCAGCTGGATTCTTGTCATTGAGGAGATATCAATAGTACTTTCATGAAACACTGATTTTCAAAAATATCTTCTTGGGTCTGAGTTGCTATTTTATTTATTGTGTATTTGGGTTGGTTGTGACAGTTTAATAAATATAGATGCTAACAAAATGAATCATTGTGAGGGAGAACAAAGTGACAGACTCTAGAGCAAGTGTTTGTTGATGTCCTCTAGGCAGCAAGTGAAGTACAGGACATAGTAAACAGTTACAACCTAGTGAATAAAAAGTGGTTTCTACCAATGTACAGGCCTATTGCTATCACTGGGACCATCTAGTATAGGACCATTGAAGAACATGTTGAGAGTAAAGACTTGCATCACTTTATTACACACTAGATCTAAGGTCAAGGCTCTTCTCTAGCATTCTGTACTGCTTGACCCTTGTTTGTACAAATTAGCTCGAGAATTCTGGGATGGAAAAGACGGTAGCTGTTACTTGAGGAACTATCTTAAGAGACCCATTTTGCAACAGAGTCCAAATAAGGCAAAAAGCATGAGTCTTACTGTGCCTTCCTCATGTGACCAGCCAGTAAACTTGAGGATATAATTTTCACCCTCTATAAGAAATATGACCCCATTTGCTACCTGACGTGACACACAGGAAAAGCCTGACACGAACACTTTTGAAAGAAGTGATCACAGACCCAAGTGAGGAGCAAACTGCATTCAAACAGTCTGCATTCCTTCCTAAGGTCCCCTGCCCTAATTCTTCCTTAAATATAAATGTCTTCTTTGATTCCTAGCGGCCCCTTAGAAAGCTCAAACCAACCTCATGCTCTCTATGCTGCACAGGCTTTAATACCAAGAAGCTTTCAAACTAAAAAAGCTTGAAAAGTATATTCAGTTCAAGCTACCACAGATGTCCAAAAGTCACATTTTACAGACATTTTAAGGAAAACAAAACCACACAGGGCTCGGCACTGTTCCACAGGGCAATGACTCCATCATGTTCTAGTTCCCTTGGCATAAGCAGAACCAAGGACTGAACTAAAGTAAGCAGGAGAACGTTCTACATTGTGGTTTCAAAGCTTCACTCAGTCTCTTTCCAAAGCACGTTAGCAATACCTATCTTCTAGAGTATAAGCAGAACCTAGTGAAGGGTCACCAGTTAAGGCGCCATGACAAGAATTCAAAGGGGGCGACAGAACCCTTTGGTACTTCTTCTGAAGACAAAGAGCTCTCAGTGCAAGGCTGGGGCCCGGAACGGCTGACTGCATTTCCTTTCCTCATTGTTTGTGTCATGGCCACTGGGGCACCCTGATTTTACTGCCTGTGGTAAACTTTCCCTCTCTGTAAGCCATGTTAATAAAACCTATTTAGTCCCTTAGGCCAAACGGCCCTGCGCTTGATGTAATTCAACACAGAACAACATCGAGATTTTTAGTCCATACCCATTAGCCAGAGTCACAGAGATGCTGTGGCCCTTCATTATTCAGCCTTTTCCAGCTCCCACACTTCTGCTGGAATAGTTCATGTGCTACTGTTAACACAAATGTACGGAGACATCTGAACAGTCTCTGCAGACTTTCCATCCTGCTTCTGCTCCTCACCCGGCAATCTGGTGAAAATGCATTTTGTACATCAGTTTTCCCAAATATGAGACGTGTTTACAAGTTAGGGATTACTACACAAGACTTGACTGATAATTTTAGCAATCAGCCACCAATTTCTTCCTATGAAACATGAACAACAACTAGTCACAACTACAACATAATACACTATAAAAGCTTCAGAGTACTTTTTTCTAAGGGGCATAAATTGCTACTGTATCACAGGGGCTGTTTTTGGGACTGCAGACAAATGTATCTGTTAGCAGGACTGGCTGTTGCATGGACCAGGCTGATGGCATTCATCACCACCATGCTGGTAGCTGGGTTTGCCATGGGTCATGACTAGCAATGAGGAAAAACATGTCAGGAGGCTTTTACAACAGCACCATAAAAAGGCTTTGTCCACAGAGCAGGTCTGGGAGAAGGGGGCAAATGTGGGCTGAGGTTCACCCATGGGACACTGGCTGGGAGAGAGACAACTGCAGTGAGCCACATCCAAGAGCAGATATGGCTCAACCTGATGGGAAGAGGTACCTGGAAGTTGTGTATCAGCAACTCACTGTGGAGAACATTCACGAACGGCCAGCCTGTAGGGAGGAAGCTCGGGGTTCTTACACCCTACCAACTCCCCTGAAGAAGGAGACAACCCTTCCTCCAACTCCTACTTGGATAGCAGAGGATCCTCAGGGGCCTCCAAGGACCCTCTCAGTAGACTCCATGTGTGCTCACAGGTTTGCGTTCTAAGCATTCACCTTTTTTGTTAAAAATTTCCCCTCTGAAACCTTCATTTGATGGATTAATCCTCTTACCCATTGGTTCAATGTTCTTGAGGCAGTTTTGCTGAGGAAATACCATTCCTTAGGAGACCATTATGAACAGACCTTTTAGGTGTTAGTCCCCACAGATAATTTCCACAAGTACCCCAAAACATACTTTTTATATATATTTTTCTTTTTAAAAATGTTGATTTGTTGCTTAGGTGGTTACTGTCCATTTACATGACAGTGGCTGTTGAGCTACATGAAAGGGTTTTGTTTCATGGAGGTCGCTGTGCATACGCCAAGTGTAGCTGATATCCAGGATCAGTGTGGAGAAAATCCAGTTGCCAGACTGCAGCCCACCACAGGAGTCATATCCCATATCTACAAGGGAAGCACACAGAGAAGGCACACTTACCATCATGGGGTCTCATCTTAAGAGTCAGCATTGACAGACTTGCCTTTTTTGGCTAGAGAAACCTCCTTAAGACTTATACACAAGCAAAGCAATATAGTTCACTAACTACACTGAAAACAAAACAAAACCACTTCTAAGTAGCATCTTGAAACCTGAAAACAATATAGTAATGTTTTACTATAATGTCTAAGAAAATAAAATATTTCACAACTCAACTAAGTATACAATAGTTATTTTCAACTTCTGTTTGTGATCTAGAGTTTAATTTAAAAAAACATGTGATTATTTCTCACAAATAGGAGAGGATGTACAGGAACATTAGCCAAGAAGAAAGGAAAGGCTGTCTGTAGACAAGGATTGGCAAAGACCCAAGCCAGATGGGAGGGAAACCTTGAGGCCAGTTCAGAACCCACAGAACCTGAGAGGCACCTGGACATCACCATCATGACCAAACATCCCCTTCAAGATGTAGGAAATCACAAATGTCTGCTCAGTCACTCGGGACTTTGAGCAGTAGTCAGCTGGTTCTAAAAAGCAAAGGCAACTGGCAATGGCTTTAGAAATGTCTTGAAGCCCATTCACACCTTAAGGATGGCTCTCTCTCAAGTGAGATGCTACCAGGCCAGCTTACCTTTACAACACGATCTGTTCCACAGGTCACCATCAGTCCCCTTGCAATGTCCATGGACATATGGGAAATGTTATGTTTTCCTTCATGAAATGTTGCTAGAGAAGTCCGACTAACAAAGAGAAAGGATCAATGAAATGTACTGACCGAACCCAGAGCTAAAAGAGAAGTGATCCTTTAGTAAGATAGGATGTTAACATTAACTTCAAAAAAATAGCAACGGTTTTACAATTAAAAGAGTACAGAAAAATAATAGCAAGGCTGTCTGTACAAAAGGTTTCATAAGGCCTGAGTATAGCTCAATGGTAGAAGGTGTGCCTAGAATTAGGCTCTGGTTCCAGTGCCAGAACCTCAAAGAGGTGGAGAAGGGGTTAATATACTCAGTCTAAAAATAACTGGTTGTTTTCATTGGAAAGACTGGCATATGAACATAAAAAAACATGAGCCTATAACACGAAAAAAGAATAGCTCTGGTGGAGACTGGGCAAAATTCATTAGTAAGAAATGCCCCTGAACCTCTGCCAACTGGATGAGCCATGAGGCAGCACTCAGCTCTGTAGTCAATAGCATCACTCTCTCCCATTAATTTACTGACCATCATGAGCAGGGACGCAGGCCTCTGCTGCTGCAGCCATGGCTCCAGGAGAAAGGAAAGACAGTGGTGACTTTTCTCCTAAAGGATCTACTCATATCAGGGCATGTCTGGTGAAGTTATTTAATATTTGAAGAAAGACACAGATCTTTATAGTCTTCTTTGTAACTAAATTTGTATGAGGGGACAAAGGTCAGCTAGCTCAACCACTGCTGTCTCCTTACACAAGAACATGTCTCTACACTGAGCCCTCTGAAATAGGCCCCAGTAGCTAGACTACTCCTAGCCACCCCCACGGTACTCAAAAAACAAACAAACAAAGCAAAAAAACTGTTCCAGACAGTGGAGCAGCTTGAGATAAACACTAGTAGCCCCAAAGTCACAAGCCTCGTGCAGGAGCTTCTCTTCAACAAAGGTTTACAAGGAATAGCAAGATGGTTTGGCAAGTTATGGCATTTTTCCTACCAGTTTGGTTCTTAGGAACCATATGGTGAAAGGAGAGATTCTTAGGAACCATATGGTGGAAGCTGTCCTCGAACCTTCACACCCAAGCTGTGACACACACATGCCCAACCCATGAATAAAACAAATGTAATTAAAAACAAACAAACAGAAATGGTTTATGACACTCCGAAGAGATAAGCACATGGGTAGAAATCTAGACCCTTCCTCAGGCTGCTCACATTCAGATGCCCATCAAACGGAGGGGGGTGGGACACAGTAAGACAGACAGCAGCAGGGACTCACTCTTCATCTTTGATGGAGTCATAACAGGAATCACAAACTCGGACCTGGAACTCGAAGCCCATGACTGGGTAACTGGATCTCTTGCTGCTGCACTTCCCGCAGACGGCCTGCCCACATTTTCTGCAGTGATGCTTCCAAGGTGGAGGGAGACAGGAGTTAGCTTTGATTCACAGGAAATAGGGCCAAGGAGGAATACACTTGTTACACCCCCAACATTCCCTGTATCATCAGATGACACTCATACACTCAAGTTTATCAAATGGCAAGGGTTTCCAAAAATAAAACAGCAAAAAAACCTTCCTTGCTTGCTAGACAACAGCTGGGTCTGTTGTTTCACAGTGCCTGGTCTACAATAAGCAGCAACATTCAAACCAAACTCAAGCTCTTTTAGGAACTCAATCGCTGGAGATTCTGGGGAGGAAAATCTATTCCTCCATTAAAGTAAGTTTTAAATAATCCATACCAGGGAATAATGTTCTTTTTGCCCTTTCAAAGTCTGATTCAGGAAATAAGCCTCCAGAACATTCCAAAACAACTCCTTCATTATTACTGACCATAACAGATTTTAACCACTAACCCTTCAGTGGCCATTTCTCTCTCTCCTATTATTAATGCATAACAGTAAAGTTCACCCCTCAGTGTTTTCTTCAGAAGGAATACTTCACCAACAATAATGTACTATTTACAACACAAGCATCCTGCAGACTTGGCCTTTTCAGTGTTTCAGGGTGGTAAGAAATAAAAGAGGCCCAGCATAGGCTGCCAGTCCAGACAGGGCCTTGGGGGCAGTTCTTTGCGTGAAAGCAAGGCAATGTTAGTAACACACACAAACGCTAGGCTAATCCCTCATCACCAGCACTCTCACTTAGCTGCCCAAATTCACATTCGGCCTGAGTGAGCGACCACCTTCGAGGCAGTGCAGGAATGCATTCCATTGCAGGATTTAGGCATGTTTCTTAATATAAAAAAGTGTAAGAGAGATTTGGGAAAGTCTCAATGAAGATGTTCCAGGAATATTTATACTGGCACAACCCAGAATGAACTGATGCTAATCAGAGCTAGTCAGAGGGTCGGAGAGTGCCCTGGGGAGGGCTGTTACTTACCTGTTAATGACAGCTTAAGGCTATCACTGAACTTCTTCATTTTTCTAATTTTATTCCTGGCTAGTATGAAATGCTGATTTTAGTAGAAAACAGTGCCAAATGCAAGCAATTTCCAGTTTCACAACAGATTCTGCAGCTTCTCTGGGCATCCCTAGCTTTCCAATGCAGGATAAGCAGAGGAGCAGTTAGGGAAGGGGTCTCATCAGCCCCAGGACAGGCTATGCTCATTATCAGTCACACGGCAGTGATATAAAACAGCAGAGGAATTGACCATATTTGTAAGAACATAGTATGATTTTCTAAACCTTCAAATTAACGATAAGAATGAGGAGATGCAAAACCCTTACAGGATGAGTAAACACAGCTACTGACCTGTCTCAACCCCAGCGTCTTCGTGTCCCACATTTGCTTTATGTTCCAGAAGAAGGGCTGCTCACACTTCTGACAGGAATCACTTTCCAACCACTGGGGAGCCTAGGGACAGTACAGAGTTCAGATGTCAGTACAGACTTCTAGAACTTTCTAGAGTTAATATTTCTTTAATTTCCACAATGTTCTTTAGCTGAGGTTGCCATGGCCAATACCATGGTATGGAGATTTTTGTTGTTGTTGCTGTTTGTATGCTTGGTTGGTTTTAGGAGACAATCTCACTATATAGTCTGACCGGCCTGGAACTTGTAGGAAACCTCCTGCCTCAGCCTCTCAAGTGCTACAATCATAGGTGTATACCACCACACCTGACTCATGCTTGTATTTTGACTAATCATGACAATTTTATCAATGCTTATAGAGTGTTCAAATTGTAACCTACAAATAAAGAGAATAATTTGAATCTTTAATGATTGTCTTACATATTTCTTTTTTATGCTAAAGTTATCTATATTCAATTGAATAAAAGCCCATATCTTGCACAACCTGAACTACCTCTTGGAAATGTTTATAGGCCACTTTACAATAGGTGAACAAAATAGAAACTTCTAGTTGTTCTATGTGGGTATCACGGCACACAGACTCACCACCCCTCCCATCCTGCCCAACCCTCAGGAACAGGTCCACTCCTCATATGAATCCTGTGCCCTCACTAAACTGTGAATTCTGGTATTCCCTTCCCCCACACTGACCAAGGGGCACGTTACCATCACATACTGCCACTTGCCACACAGCCCTTCTCAGTGATGTTTTGTGGGGTCTCAAAACATGGTACTGGAGAATGACAGCTAAGCTCCGGCCTCAGAGAGTCATGGATTAAGACTGAGCACAAGGGAAGAAAACATATGCCTCTAATACCTTGAGATAGCAAACTATAATCAGTGCAGAAACAGACATGTGTTTTAGAACAAATTTTAATACTAGAAAATCCGTAATTTCATTTTCTTAATAGTAAGAATACTGCGAAGTTGGCATTAAACCCTGAGTTATTGTGAGCCACTTGGCTCTGTGAGTATTGTCTGAGGAGAAAAAAGGTTGTTTGCACTGAGAAGAACTAAGCAGAGCCCAGGACAATGTTGAGTGCTTGCCGGGGATGGAAGCAACCCTCGTTGATCCCCAGCACTGAAGAAGATGGTGTGGTGGTGCATGCCTCTATTCCAGTGCTCAGGCAGTGAAGCCAAGGAAGACCCAGAAGTCAAGGTCATGCTTAGGCTACACAGACTCTCAGGCTGGTGTGGGTCACACAGGACCCTGACTCAAGAAAGAGAGCACAACGAGGGGAGATGGTGAGTCAGGGCCTAGCACCCACACCAGGCAAACGCTCTACCATCCTCAGCTCAGAAGAGAGGTTATTAACTAAGCATTATGATTGGTCTATCTCTTCTCTACATCCTGGTTCCATCTTAATCTCAACAAAGAGAATGCAAGAATAATCCTGCTTTATTGCGGCCACTAGCTGCTACGGATACCTACAGTGTTACACATTCTAAAGTCTGCTTGCTTACACATTCCCCAAAACTACTGTTACTTGTACATACTTCATATACTCACTTCCAAAAAGGAACAGCCCTGATTACAATCTGGCAGGGAAGCAAATGTGCTGCTCTATTCTGGGAGGGGGCTGCTGGCCACGCAGAGCTAACAGCCATGTAGGGCTAGAACGGTCCAGTCAGTATGGACAGGTGACCTCCAGAGACACTCTGGATGAGCAGTGCGGACTGGAGAACCATGCTTTTTCCTCTGGTCCCTGGCTAAGGAAAACCTCTCTAAGGACTCTCTACAGATACCTGACAGGGTCAGACCTCACAGACAGCAGGCTGCTCACCTCTGCACTGCATTTCCTTAGTCAGAAAAAATGAGTACCTACTGAAAGTAATTTCTCCTTTGATATAATTTGCCTTCCTCCCTCTTCCAGAGATGACTAACAGGAAGCCATCTCTGCCACACAGGAAGCACCTTGACAGACAGGACTATATTTTTCTTTTCCTACATGTACAATGGCAGCTCACAATTATGTCATTTGAAGGAGGGGTGCTGCTCCCACTTTCTTACTGCATTTTCTGAAAGACTGTACAAAGGAAAAGAAAGGTGTGTTGAAATGGGAGTGGTTAAACCCCTGAGATAATCCCAACAGTCATCCCCGGTTATACAGGAAATGCATCCTCCCTCTCATATATCCATAACAATGGACCAAGAACCCAGGAAACAGAACAGCACAGCAGCTGCTCTTGGTGCACACAGTCAGTGGCTGACGGAACACAGAGCACAGTCCTAATGGACCTTTGCAAACGAAGAACTATCATGGAGCAACACAGAGCTGATGCTGAATATGTTACATGATACACCACTCCAAGACTTACCAAAAGATTTTTAGAATGTGTAAAACCAGGAGTTAAAAGCTGCCATATAAGCAGAGTTTCCTGTTTGGCTTGCCACACAAGGCTGCCAGGAAACCTAGCAATTAGAACGCCTCTGTATTGGGCACCACATCTTATCAGCTATGGGACAGTCTGTTTTCTTCAACTTGGCCACATGTTTCTTGTGGGTGGGAAGCTGAAAACGAGTCTGTCACTACTGTTTCCTGTAGACTGAAGCCCCTGATTAGTACTTATGGGACACACTAATCTAAAGTGTATTCAGTGACAATGGCGGGACACACTAATCTAAAGTGTATTCAGTGACAATGGCGGAACACACTAATCTAAAGTGTATTCAGTGACAATGGCGGAACACACTAATCTAAAGTGTATTCAGTGACAATGGCGGGACACACTAATCTAAAGTGTATTCAGTGACAATGGCGGAACACACTAATCTAAAGTGTATTCAGTGACAATGGCGGGACACACTAATCTAAAGTGTATTCAGTGACAATGGCGGGACACACTAATCTAAAGTGTATTCAGTGACAATGGCGGGACACACTAATCTAAAGTGTATTCAGTGACAATGGCGGAACACACTAATCTAAAGTGTATTCAGTGACAATGGCGGAACACACTAATCTAAAGTGTATTCAGTGACAATGGCGGAACACACTAATCTAAAGTGTATTCAGTGACAATGGCGGGACACACTAATCTAAAGTGTATTCAGTGACAATGGCGGGACACACTAATCTAAAGTGTATTCAGTGACAATGGCGGGACACACTAATCTAAAGTGTATTCAGTGACAATGGCGGGTATTATAAGGCAATACAAAGCGGAGCCATGCATAGAAGCTTGGAGGCGGGGAATCACAATGGATTAACATGGCACATGCAACGATGGCATACAGAGCACACTGAACTGCACAATGATCTATAGGACAGTACAAGGAACACGTGTGACATCATGTAAGACAATACCTGTTACAATGCACTATCAAAAAAAAATCACCAGGACTGGGGAGATGGCCCGGTGAGTAAGAGCCTTGCTGCCTTGCTGTACAAGCATGAGGACCTGAATTCAGATCCCCAGAATTCTCATAGATGCTGCACAGAGTTACACATCTGTAACTCCAGTGAGGGCTGGTCATCAAAGAGACAGGATTGCTTGCACTTGCTGCCTAGTCAGGCTAGCCAAAAACCATGAGTGCCAGGTTCAGTGAGAGTCATATCTCAAGGAAACAGCAGGGCACAAGCAAGCACACAAACACACGCACACTCTCTCATGTGAACACACAATTTAAAAACCACATAACACTGAAACAACCTTTACCCTGTGTTTCCCCTAAGTCGCCAGACTGTAAGGCCACTCTGTAAGTGCTTGGTGAACCCTTCTGAAGTGGAACTGTCTTGACTGCCCATCAACCTTCTTTGGAATCCACTTTTGCAAGACCCAGATGCCACTGAGTGAAGACGGACTGTTCTAGCAGAGATGAGCAGGAAACCTTGCCTGGAAAGCATCTGATGACAGCTATGAAAAGCCTATGGATATAGACATCCCTCTAGCAGAATCTATTTTCAGACCTTTGCGTGGGATGAGTAATTGAAGAACCACATGATGACAAGGTCACTGCAGTGTCTCTTAAAAGAATGATAGAGAGACTGAGCCAACAGTTAAAGACGTTACAGAAATGGAGGAGGGCTGCCGGGCGTTGGTGGCGCACGCCTTTAATCCTAGCACTTGGGAGGCAGAGGCAGGCGGATCTCTGTGAGTTCGAGGCCAGCCTGGTCTACAAGAGTTAGTTCCAGGACAGCCTCCAAAGCCACAGAGAAACCCTATCTCGAAAAACCAAAAAAAAAAAAAAAGAAAAAGAAATGGAGGAGGGCTTAGACCTCATCTCAGGGATTGATTTCACTGGGTAGAAGAGAAAACAGACATCCAGAGATTAAAACATTTACCTAAACAAGGTCTCACACCTAGTTAGTGGCTCAATGAAATTTAAAAATCAAGTTGCCTAAAGAGAAAACTGCAGTTGCATGGACTCAGTGGAAGACAGTGCAAGCAAAGCAAAGGCAGAGAACAGAGGCACAGCTTCCCCGGGATCACAGCCACCTAGCTCTATCCTGTGACATTCTTCTCAGCGCTCCAAACCGAAATGTTCCAGAGCCCCATGAATACTTCAGAAGGCCTCCATGGGTTCAAATCCCTGGATGAGCTAGAAGGCTGCTGGCTGATATTCAACCTACATGCTGCCCATCTGTTTGTACCGCTCATCAGTGCCAGAAAGTGTCACCCAGTACAGGTCACGACACAGCAGTGAGGCCTGGAGAGACGGCTGAGTCAGCAAGATGCTCCCTGTGAGTGCACATCACAGGCACTTACATAAAAAGACCGGCAAGGTGGTATACGCCTGCCATCCCAGCCCTGGGGAGGCAGGGACAGGGGATTCCTGGGGCTTGCTGGCCAGGCTAGTCAAATCATGAGCACCAGACTTGGTGTCTCCAACACTAAGATGGAAGAAGCTACAAAGAAGAAGCTACCCAGTTTTGACTCCTACCTTCACATGCATGTGAGACCTGCACCCGTGTACACATACATGAACACAACATACATATCATACGTATATACACACTATAAATAAGTTAATTTAAAACATCTGGAACGGTGAGAAAGACAGGGTGGTGCATAACTTCCCACAGCCAGAGAAGGGATCTCCTCGGACCAGCCTGCCATGTGCCTGCTTCTTACCTCTTCTCTGCTAACATCCATGTTCCACACTGCAATCCCACCATCTGAGGAGCAGGAGACAAGCTGCCTCGTGAGCTGCAGGTAGCACAGTGACTGTACTCTGTCACTGCAAATGGAACACAAGTCACATGTCAACACAGAAAAGCTCAGAAACTTTTCCCTGGAGCTCAGCACTCTCCCCTCCTTCCATTACTCGGTACTATTTTATAACTGTTTGTTTGATGTGGTGATAAGGACTTTATGATGAACATCAGATCATGTTCTCTACAAAATAAATGCTCCTCCTTTTGAATCTGACATTTAAACTGCAACTCAGAGATGGGTAAGAGCGACAGTTGATTGAGTCCCTCACCATAATCTCTCTTTCAAATGGTTTATTTACCTTCTCAAAAACAAAATAGAATGTGACTCTCTTAGTGGAAAGCAGTTCATACGGAAAATTAGAGAAATCACTAGGGCCATGAACAGCCACCTGCACATGCTCCCACAGGTGCCTCACATGCACACATGGGTACAACTCTGCCCTCTTCCTGAAGACTCTCGAATACGGATGCCAGGCAAACAATCTCCTGACCTGGTAACTTCTGTACCTAACCTTTTCCTGGCTAAATTTCAACTTGACTGTAGTTACTGTCAACAGCTATGGCCTGACTAGCAACAAAGAAGAAAGGAACACGTGGTGTAGGAGTTAAGGAGGTGATCCTGTTCAAAGGCTAGAAGACAAGCCCTAAGTATTACAATGTCAGAGCTTAAGTGAGTATGGCTGCAGGTCCACCTGTCACTTTTTAATGAGATATATTTTATGGAGTAGACTGGTATTTTAACACACACGATCTGCCATGGTCAAAGCTGTTGCCTCCAGTCTCTGGCCCATCATGCTTTAAGTAGGTATTTCAACAGGGCCACTCCTTAAGAGAAAAGGGAGGGGGCCTCTTTAGACTAATGAGGGAGAACACCTCATACTCCATTTTCTTTTTACTCAGGAGTGGCAGAAGCACTTAAAATGAAGACAGGACAGAATGCCAGTGCCCTCCCATCCTGCCTCAGACCCCTAATCCCAAATGGTCACATACTGGTGGCCCTGAAGGAGAAGTGTGCGGCCTTTCCTTCCCCCGATGTCCCACATGATGATGCTGTTGTCAGATGCTCCTGAGAAGAGTAACCGTTGAATGGGGTCCCACCAAAGGCAGGCGATACTACCTAGGTATGTGAGAGAGGGGTCCAACAGAACTCAGCATCAGATCACATTGTGCGATTGTGGAAGACCCAGCTACCAGCTGAGCCTTTGAGTAACACATCTACCTTTGTCATACAAAGGGTCATTCACATCCTCATGAGTCATGAAGAAAACATTGCAAATCCATTATCCAAACTTGGAAGATAAGAGTGACTGTGAGTCACACAGCTTTGAATACAAAGGGTTTAAAAGTTTTTTTCTTAGCCTCCAAAACAATACAGAGAAACCCTGTCTCGAAAAAAAAAAAGTTTTTCCTTGTAGGCACCTCAACAGTCTCTTGTTAGCCATCCTTATTGCTTAAACATCCTTGATGAATGGGGAAAAGGTTCTGTGTATCTGCTCACTCTCAGGGACTTCCTGAAACTTGTGAGTTGTTTGCTTCCTGCATCTTAAATGAGCCTTCCTTCTATGTTCTAGTGTTCATTGGTCATGACCCATGTGAAGGTGGACTTTCAGTGATACAGCTGCCTTTGAATTATCCCTGTTCCTATAAGTAACCCGTCATCCATATTCTTGTGAGTAACCCCAATAAATTCATTGGTTCACCAAAAAAAAGTTTTTCCTTGTTCTGTACCATTAATTTAAATAATACCTGTAGTTTACTGTGAGTGTTTTTATATAAGATACAAATGTAGGTTATTCCAGACTCATGAGACTTTACAGACATTTACCCGAGGATTCTTTTATCTGTGAAAATTAAATTAAAGCCTCAAGAAAAAAAGTGGTGCAGGTATATGAAATAAATATACCAAAGAAGTTCAGAAAAAAAAATCCAACCCTTATATTTCACATTCTGTAATAGCTAGTTTATCAAATTGAATGTCCTTGGGGAAATCTTTTTGTTTCTAGAGCTATCTCTTCCAGAGGTGTCTTCCACTGTTACTATTGGCCTAGGAAACAGCTACTAAGCTACTAAGAAACAGTAACACAGAACCAGTGACACACTAACAATTCTCCTGGAGGCACACAGAAACTAATGAGGTCACCTTCACAAATGAGTAAGAAAAGTCAGTTTCTCATATGAGCCTTCTCAAAACAAGAGTGAAAACAAAACAAAAAAGTACTTGGAAAATGAGCTTCAGGCTCCATTTTTTTTTTTTTTTTTTTTGTCATGGATTCTGTTGAGTCCCATGCCCCTCACGTGTCAGGTTAATGGCCTAAACCACAGATAAACGTGGTCTGACAGGAAAAGCATAAAAATTCTGCTTCCAGAAGATCCAGCTTCATTAGGAGCCTTGCTTCTCTGCAACAGCTACTCATTTTCTTTTTCACCTTTTCCCCAGAGTCCCTGATCTTGAACAGTCTATTTCATCTAAACAACTTAGAGAGAAAGTGTTAGATACATCCAACTTGTTGCCTAGCTACCATATTAAATAAACTATTGATCCTCTCAACAAAATTTCAGTTCTTTAGTCTAAACTAGAGACCTCAAAGTTCCAATCTGTAACTCATATAGAAATGGGATCCAGTCATCTGTATCAAAACACTGCATTTCAGCTCAGTGGTCAATGAAATCAACTTATCACTTACATGTACATAAAAAGTTTACAAGATTCAGCCAATAGAATTTTACATTCCTCCACTGAGCTCCACCACCACAATACACTACAGAAACAGGGTATTTTATCTAATGATATACTCTCCCAAGTCATTACCCAGCACATGGATGACAAAGTATGAGACTGACCAGCCCATGGAGTTCCTCTAATTGTACCATTCTTGAAACTAACAAAACAATAACAGTAATGAGGATTCTTCCAAAGGTTTGTTTAAAAGAAATGGTCTGGGGATGGAGGTGTAGGTCAGTGGTAAGAGTTCTGTTTGACACATAGCAGGGTTCAAAACCAGTACTGCACCCTGTCCCTGAAGAGTTATTATGGAAACAATAACTTTAAAAGATTATTGGGTATGGTGGCTCACAACTCTAAATCCAGTACTTAGGAAGCTAATGGACAAGGATTATTAGGAGCTGAGGCCAGCCTAAGCTGCACATTAAGTTTCAGGACAGCCAGGGCTAGCATCACAACCACTTCGAAGAGCCATCAATCAATCAAAAAGCAAACAAGGTAAGCAAAGCGAAGCATCCCTTGAGCAATTCAGGCAGGATTTCTGATGTATGAAACTGAACATCCCAACTGACACTTGGTTTTCTTTTGAATCCCATCAAACTGAAAGCTGGCTGGTCACAAGGAGGGGACCACTCCCAAAATCACAGAGCTGAAGACCGACTTTGGATGGCGAGCCTACCTTCATGTCCCTTGAGGGTCGTGATAACTGAACAGGTGTTCTGCTCCAGCTTCAGCAGGGTGATCTGTCCCGAGTAATCGCCCACAAAAGCATGCTGAGTATCCATATCATACCTGAGAAGCAGTCAAGGACAGGTAACAGGACCCAACTCAGCACACTCCCACAGAGCAAGCATACCAGCGATAGACAAAGGCTTAACATGGAACTCAGGTATTCTACGACAAGAACCACAAACCTGAAATCAGGACATCAAAGACAATGAGTAAATGGGTGACAGGTGCACACTGAAAGAGCAGCCAGATTCGTAAGGAGAGCTAGCATCCAGTCAACAGGCATTATATTGAGGGCAACAGCGGAGGAACCAGCATTAAAAAAACAAACAAAAAACAAACAAAACAACTATGATAGCTGGTAGAGATGACAGGTAGTTACAATCAAGTTGTAATAAAACATTAAAGAATAAAATTGATAAATAATGAAAACAATTTGAGCACACACACACACACACACACACACACATACACACATACACACTGGAACTCTGAAAATGCAGGACACAGACTCATCGTCCTTAACCAAAATAATCTAGCTTTAAATGAAGACAATGGCTTACTTCAACTTGCAGAGGGTAGTTCCATAACCCAGACATTCGCTATCTGTGCTGGTAATCTTAAAGCAGATTAACTACCGGTGATAACTCAATCCTGTCTCACTGTGTAACCACAGGCATTTGTAGAAAAGCGGCATTGTATACAAAACAGCCGAGTGACTGCTAGTGTTCTAGAACATACGGTCAGGAGAACTATAAGCCAGACCATGATGATGATTTTGTGTTGTGTTCTGCAAAGTCATTATGAGAGCTCTCATTCATACAGAAAAGCTCAGTTAGAATACTTTCCCTTGATGGAGTCTAAACTGTAAAGTACTGTGTTAAAGGTTTATTTTAAACAACTCATGTTATGCATTCAGTTGTAACAAATATTTAAAAAGCAATTTTTCTTTTTTTTTGTGGGAGAGGTGTACCATGGCATCATGAACTATTTTAGGATGCTGTCTGCTGTTTATGGTCTTCATCTTGTCATCACTTGTGCACTGCACACAGCAACAGAGGTCCCCTGAAGCAGAGGTGACCTGTGTGTAAAACAAATTCCATAGGGCTGCAAGTTAAAGCCAGGAATGTTATCATCTGGGGAATCCGAGGCACATATGAGAGTACTGTAAGAATCAAAGGCCCTTTCATATTCATTAAAAAAAAAAACTTATTAAGGGAAGTTTTGTATAAAGTTCCTGGCAACCCACTTATTAAGCCCAGGGTAAGGTGAAGTTTTCCATTTTGTAATGAAAGGAAAAGGGTGAGTTTGCATAAACAGGGCTCAACAAGTTCATAGTAAAAAAAAAATGACCACCCTTCACAGAGAATATATTTATGTCATTATTTTTAACAGGCATGCTTTATACCAAAGAAAAGCAGACACAGAAATTCTTGGATTTGAAGTTAAATCCACAGGAATCACTCTGTCTTCAGAAGAACTAATAATTCAACTCCAAATTAAACAGTGAGGTGAGAGGTTCTGGGAAGGAGTGGCTGGGCACTCTGAAGGATACTGCAAGCAAGAAGCCCAGGACGCGAAGAAGTGACGGCTAAGCATGTTCCCACTGCGTGTGCACATCCAGCTCACACACTTGTCATGGCCCGTGCTGATCACCCACTCGGCGGCCGAGCTGAAGATGATAGCAGACACGCGGTTCTGATGGGCTGCAGGAGACAAACGGAGGTCAGTGCCCGCCAGGACGCAGGGCTGTTTTCTGAACCCCTCCCCACACTGGGTGAGAGCTAAGGCTCAACTTGCAGTGTACAGGCGCGATCCCAGTAGACTTCAGACAATCTGCTGCTCCCCATTCCCCACGCACTGCACAGGATCTCACCAAAGCCCTGGGCCACCACCACACAAGGAAGGCTGTCAGAAGCCAGGAAACACGAAAGAGCCATGCTCTAGAAGGATTCCAATTAACAGAAAACAAGATCTTTTTTTATTATCTGTCTGTCTGTGTTCAAAGGAACATTTTTATCTTTGCCTAAAGACCTCGCTATGCTGTCTGTATGGACAGTTGCAGATTTTCCTCAACAGAGCGGAGATGTTTGTAAGTGCAGGTTACTTCACCATTGCTCATGTCTTTCCTGCCATGCTAGATGGACTTCATCATCACTCAAGTCCTTCCTGCCAAGACAGATGGACTCCACCATTGCTCAAGCCTTTCCTGCCAAGACAGATGGACCCTCAAACTTAAGACAATATAAACCCTTCTTTCCTCTCTTAATTTTCTTTTTGTGGTCTTTGGTCAGAACAACCAGAAAAGTCACCAATACACCTGGCTAGTATCTTTTGTACTTATCTAATAGACAATATATCCATTTTAAAGCAATCAATAAGATTTTTTTAATACTGGCATTGCATACAAGAACAAATGCAATTTTGTGAAATTTAAAAAGGTATCTTTTACGGAATGGTTTTGTATATAATTTTTATTATTATTTATAAAGACAGAGCATAGGTGAAGCCCTCTGAAATAGTAGCTGAGAAAGGAGGAAGTTTTGCTATCACTTAACCTCTGAAATGTTTCAAGTTGATTTTGGCCTCCCCAAGGCGTGGCATGACTCTGCTTCATCAGGCACATGACTGCACACAGTAGATTCTAGTAAATGCTCAAGGTGATGAATAAAGTCAAAGGCCAGTCAGAGAGAAAGCTGCCATTGTCCTCAGGTGTGTGAGCCACTCGAGACCTGAGTGGATCGGAGTGTCAGTGGGATGGTCATGCACACAGACTGCAAGGGGGCTATGTAAAAATTACATGCTCGTCAAGTCAGGCAGTGGTAGTGCACACCTTTAAACCCAGCACTTGGGAGGCAGAGGCAGGAGGGTCTCTGGGAGTTCAGGCCAGCCTGGTCTAAAGAGCAAGTGCCAGGACAGGTTTCAAATCTACACAGAGAAACCCTGTCTCAAAAAACAAAACTAAGCAAAATAAACAAATTACATGCTCCCTGAAAGTCCCAAAACTTCATGGGTGTCAGTCATACATTCAAGGAAAACGAATCCCATATGGTGACTGAATGGGCTTTTTGTTTCACGTTGTTAATGATATTTCTAATTTCCTCAAACACAGGGTGCATATTAATTTCAGATACAAAAACTGAGGAACGTGACTTTTATTCATAGAATACAATTTATAATTAAAAGATGAATTTGCTCTGTCTAACTCCAAACACTTTTTCCCACTAAGGCTGTGGCTGTCAAACTGAGGTAAGACAAGGTTTATCCCAGCTCATGGTAAAGACCTCAGAATGACAGTCAATTACTTTTCTCAGGAAGTTATCTCATTTGTAGGCTTAGATCCTTTTTACTACTGTAACTTTTCAGTATTTTCTTTTAGGAAAGGATGGTGACGCCTGTTAACGCTTATCCTGCTTTGCTCATGGTTTCTAGGTTCTCCCTTGTGACAAAATTAAAAATGTGGCAAACTCTACTCAGTCTTCCACATGGTTCTCTAGATGTCATTAAGTCACCAATGAAATGTAAACTCTAGAAAAAACTACAAAATTATGCTATATATAATCCACAGAGAACTCTGAAAACTTAAATACCAATCTTATAAAATGTGTATTTCACAGATGTCCCAAAGTACACCTTTTAACTCAGTTACAACATACTGCAACTCCCTGGGAATGAGACACAAACCACAAGGGATGTTCAGGGAAGACAAATGACCAACACTAAATAAAGCTGAAGTCATTTTCAAATTGTGAACATTTCTATCAAACTGGTATCAAATAAATAAGGCAGCAATGTTAGGAAGATCCAGCAAGAGGGCACCTCACTCACTCGCTGGTCATAGAGCTGCAAGATCTGCATTTTTGTTTAGGAGGCAGTTTGCAAAAATAGATCTCGAGCATTAAAATAACATTTTAGTGTTTGACCTGGCTATTCTGCTTGTAGGAATTTGTCCTAAGTAGAAGTCATCAATATTAACCATCTAGAGTCTCAATGTCACAGTCATGAACACACACAGTTATACACATAACTATGAAATACACCTACAGATGTGCATGTACACACAACCACACACATGTATATTGTACTGTATGTTAGTCAAAAACTGGAAGCAGTGCACATCTGCTTTTAGTAACAGAAGAATAGTGAAATTAAATATTGTACACTTACCCAATATACAAAAATTTAAATGCAGGAAGCAGGGAAGGATGATAAGTAACTTACTATTTTCTCATATAACTGGTGCACTAAAATGGAAACGTTAATGTGGAAACCTACCTTTAATCATAGCAGAGGACACTCTAGCTTTATGTGTGTGTATCTAAATATGTACACATGCAAGAGTGTGTGTCATTACCTGGATAGGTCTTGATAAAATTCATTTTATTAAAATCTTCAGAAACGTGAAATTCCTAAAAGCAAGCATACGTAATAAAAAAGACAGTTACAGTTCTTTAAACAACAGGAGCTCAGCTTGAAAAATGAATCAAAGTCCAAAAAAATGCTTGTCATGAGACATGGCATTCAAGATGAGCTACGGAGGTGATTGTTCCTCCCAGCAAACCTGTCCTTGGGCCATCATTCCTTTAAGGAGGAATCAAACAGCTAGAATAAAGAAAGCACTGCCAGCCAGCTCTGCACTTATGCTTCCTCCACAAGCCAGTCTTGCTCTAACTGTGACATTTTGTTCATTCTGCCCCTTTGGCTATGCACAACTAAGTTAATAAACTCCTCAAGACAACATATAAGGAGCAAATGTGAAAGACCTGTTGTCAACATTGTTGATGGCTTACAGGAAAGAGATGGCAATGACTTGGCAATTTAATGAGGAAAATATGCATGTTGTGTGTATAAACATACCCTCTAAAACACAAATTTTAGAGACTGTGGAATGTCTTTTGATATTCTTATAATTTCCATATAACAAGGAGGGGAAAAAAAGCGCACACGTTTGTAATGAAAAGAATCAATACAAGTCAAAAAAAAATATGCACTAGTTAAGAACCCTACCGATCAGTGTTAAATTGTTAGGGTGCTATGTAATGCAGACATTATAAACTGCAGACTGATTCAGAGTGACAAAAACACACATAAAGAATAGAGACGTGCCATCCTCCATCTGGCTTTGCTGGGTACCAAAGTTCATCAGCACTGTAAATGAGAATCTAGACAAAGCAGCCAACCCAGAGATCAATTGCTGACTATGGATGAATTAGATTTTCACTCTCCCTTTCTGTGGGAGCCAGCACTTTCACACGTTGTAACTACAGCCTCTTCGGCAACCAAAACGCAGAGAGGAAAGCCTCGGAAGATGTACACACTGCCACCTGGAGAAGGTGCTTGCAGCTTACACTTGAGGGTTTATCTTACATGAGTGTGCGCATCATCACCATATCCCCTCAAAGTCTTTGGAAGGAAAGGGACAGAACTTTGCCAATTGTTGCTACTGTGTGCAGAGTCGTCCTTGCCACTTACCAATGCTTTACGAACGACAGGGCAGCAGCCCATCCTCCCTTTTGGCTCTTTCTTCTCAGCCCTTACACATAATCAAAGCATTTTACATTAAAGGGCAAGTCAACTAAAACAACAATGAAGACCTGTGACCTACCCAGGACTCTTTTTTAGTCCGCCTTCTCAGCAAAGCCTTTTTTTTTTTTTTAATGCTCAGTCCTTACTGGCTTAGCCACCCTCAGGCTTTCTCATCATGGTCCCTTCTCCTACCACTGTGCTCCAGGGTTCTGTGTCTGCAAGGAGAGTGTGCTCCCTCCTACCCCTGGCTGCATTCTTTTATATCCATCTATCCATTCATCCACCCATCCACCCACCCACCCACCCACCCATCCACCCACCCATCCACCCACCCACCCACCCACCCATCCATCCATCCATCCATCCATCCATCCATCCATCCATCCATCCATCCATCCATCCATAATTTTTTAGCTAGAATGTAAAATACTAGATAATCTTTAGGAAATTTTCAAACTTTGGGACACTATGTCTTAATGGTTCTCCCTTCTCCACCATTTCTCCACCCCACTGTCACCTATGACCTCCCTTGTCGCACCCCATCCTTAGACTCTTTTGTCTTTCCTTTGTGTCTTCCTGCCTGCCCATCCTTCTTCTAGCTTCTTAAGCTTTACTCACTCTTACATCTGTTTATACATAAGCACAGGCTACCTTCTTGGCACAGTCTGATCTCAGCCTCTGTTGCCCTTGTTTTCTGAATCTCACCACCTCCCTGCTCCCTTCTCCGATTGCCACCCAAAGCTTTTCCTTTCTCAGGAAATGGCACCACAGCCCACTTAGTTCAAGCCCCAAATCTGGTATCACCTAACATCTTCATTTGTCCTCTCAAACTGAACCCACAGCAAACACACCAGGAAGCATCCTAAGTCATTCACTCCGTCCACTTCTGAGGCCATTGTCCTTGATCCCAGATTCCTGGTTGCTACAGCAACTTGACTTTCCTTTGCATTCTTGTTACTTTCCAATTCAGTATCCATGGGGCTAGTTGTTTAAGAATATCGTCAGGCAAAAGAACATAGGTGGTTCCTATAATCCTATCACTCTAGAAGGATGAGGTGGAAGAGCGTAGGTTTGAGGCCAGTGGGGGCTACACAGTAGGCTCCAGGGCCAGCCTGAGCACTATAATGAAATCCTATCTGAAAGAGGTAGAGGAAGGTATGAATTACATCATATCAGTTGCCTGTCAAAACCTTTTGCTAGCTTCTCACTAAATTTACCATAAAATGTGAAAATTTACCCACAGGCCTTGCAAGATCTGGTCCCTGGCCACGTCTCAGTTATGCCTAGGTCCTTTGTCTATCATTCAGTACCACCCAGCCAAGATACCCTCATCCAACATAGACCTGTGCCTCCTCAAGTCTTCACTAAGCTTCCACCTCTGGAAACTCTGCTGTGACAAGGGTGCCAAGTAAATACAATGGGAAAAGAAAATACAACTGGTACTGGAATAACTTTTGAGTATCCACAGGCAAAAGAATAAGTGTGAAACCAGCCCTCAGCCATCTACAGAAATTAACTAATAATGGGGCCAAGATCTAAATATGAAAGCTAACCTGCAAAGCTCTGAGAAGAAAAGAGAAGTATGACAGGATTAGGCACATTCGGAGTGATACGGCCACAGATTAATTTTCTCCTGTGAAAACAGGAGAAATGACCTGGAGCCGGGTTATTAAAAGTTTCTTAGATATTGTAGTCAAAGTACAAGCAACAACAACAAAAAAGAGAAGAAACTGGACTTTACAAAACTTAAAAATGATTGAAAAGACAACACTTCAACAGGGAAGACCCCCTCAAGACACACATAAAAAGTTACACATGGAACATGTATAGGACAGACAATTTCCCCATCCAGAGAAAGTAGATTAGAGACAGCCAGGTGGTGGAGTTGTACCAGGGAGCAACTGCCAATGGAAACAACCTTTCTCTGAGGGACGTAAAGATGGTCTGCAATTAGAAAGTGGTGATGCTAACGTGACCTAAAGAATATACAAAACACTATAACTCATTAAAATGCACATGGAGAGTGATGATCAATGCGGTGCATGAGTTACATATCTATTAAGGAAATGAATAGATATGTACACACAATTAACTTTTTTAAAAAATCATTTAAATATCCCATCCTTCACCAAAGACAGTTCAAGGTACGCTGCTTTCCTTCTAGAGTCACATGAGCTCCTGGATGAACAGCTGGTCCTTCTTCTCAGCTGTTTTTCACAGAAATACACATATACACGGTGGTTCTCCATTACCCTGTCAAAGGCAGCAGCAGCTACTGGTCTCAAATCCACTGCAAAAAGTCTGCTTTGTAGGCAACCTGAGCACCAAGACACTAATCATGAGAGCATTCTGAGACACGTGGAAATTAGTTTATAAGTACTAATTAAATTGGACTTATTTGAACAGACACTGCTCATGCCAAACATGTTCAATATAAGTAAACATGGGGTAGTCTTACAAAGGACATACTGAATATCAGAGACACTATACTTACCATTATAGCCCCATTATCCTGGCCCACAAATATCCGTCGACTGTCGTGGTGGTATGTCATAGCAGAGCAAGGAGCTGCCAAAAAGACAAGGACCACATTGTGAGAAAAGCTAAGTACTGAATGTCATTGTTTAAAACACAGTATTGAGAAGAGTTATATGGTTACATTTTTAGAAATAGACAGAAATGCTTTATGAAAAGTAAATACTGTACATATTGAAAATGTAATTGAAGCTCCCTGTGGCTTAAGTTTAAAAAAGGACCTCTGTAAGCCATCTCACAGTTACTTTGAGAGCTTTGGGTGAAGTCTCTTCTGGGTGGAACTCCTGCTATAGCATAGATGCCTCTGGGGACCAGTGTTTCTGTGCATGCTCTGATATCCAGATGCTCACCCTATCCTGCCACCCTTCTCCAGAAAAGACCAATGATGTGTCGGACTCCAAAAATCAAGGAAGGGTACTGGCACGAGAATTCCAAACCCGTGGCATATGTGAGCAAGCTAGGAAATCCACCGTGGGCTTATTTCTTTCCCAAGAGAAAAATGTGGAGACAGAACTTTTGGGTTCACTCCACATAAATGATTTTTTTTTTTGGTTTTATGAGACAGGGTTTCTCTGTATTGTTTTGGAGGCTGTCGGTCCAGCCCGGCTTCGAACTCACAGAGATCTGCCTGCCTCTGCCTCCCGAGTGCTGGGATTAAAGGCGTGCGCCACCAGCGCTTGGCTTCACATAAGTGATTTTAATTAGTAGTGAAAGACCCACAACATGAACATGCATGTCAGAGGGAAATAAACCAGATATGTGCAGCTTTGAATTAGAATTGCTTATCAAAAAGTAAATAAATGTAAATAAAAATAAAACAATGGAAAGCTGGGTTGGGCGGTGCAAGCTTTTAACTGAACAATCAGAAAGTGGATAGAAGAGGATCACAATTTCAGGGCCAAACTGCCTACCTAGAAAGTTCCAGACCAGCCGGGCGTTGGTGGTGCACGCCTTTAATCCCAGCACTCGGGAGGCAGAGACAGGCGGATCACTGTGAGTTCGAGACAGCATGGTCTAGAGTTCCAGGACAGGCTCCAAAACAATACAGAGAAACCCTGTCTCAAAAAACCAAAAAAAAAAAAAAAAAAAAGAAAAGAAAGTTCCAGGCCTGCCTGGGCTACATGTGGAGTGACACACTGTCTCAAATCCCAAAATGAAAAGTCAAAGAGAAAAAAAAATCTTCAAAGGAAATAACTTGACATTTTCTCACTCCAAGAAGGGTCATGCATTTTGCATGTATGTACGTGGGGAGGGGTATACTTCTTCATGTATGTTTATGCATGTGTAGCCAGAGGTGGACACTGAGTGTCTTTTCTTGATCTCTCTCTACCATTACGTTTTGAGACAGGGTCTCTCACTGAACCTGCAGCTGACCAATTCAGCTAGGCTGGCTAGCCAGTGAGCTCCGGAGATCTGTTTCCGCCACCTGTCCTATCCTCTGCCCCGCATCGCTGGCACTGCAGGCAGTCAGCATTGTGCCCTGCCTCTTATGTGGGTTCTGGGGATCTGGGCTTAGGCTTCTTTACTTGTGTGGCAGGCTCTTTACTGACTGAGCAATCTCCCCAGCCTCTGGGCTCATCGTCTGTCAAAGAAAATATAATACAGAATGGTACCCAAAGACAATTTTAAGATCACACGCAGGAAAAGACTATGTCAGTTGCATTCAAGAACTCTGCAAGCCGGGCGGTGGTGGTGCACGCCTTTAATCCCAGCACTCGGGAGGCAGAGGCAGGCAGATCTCTGTGAGTTTGAGGCTGGGCTGGACCGATAGCCTCCAAAACAATACAGAGAAACCCTGTCTCGTAAAAACAAAAACAAAAACAAACAAAAAAAAAAGAACTCTGCAGGTAAAGGTAAATACTGACACTGTTCACAACTCAGTCAGATGTGTGGGAGTTTGAACTGGCTTCATGTCTGCACACTCCTATATTTATGTTTTGGGTTTATAATATATAATCTCATGTTTAATAATTATATCCTCAAGCCGGGCATTGGTGGTGCACCCCTTTAATCCCAGCACTTGGGAGACAGAGGCAGGTGAATCTCTGTGAGTTCAAGGCCAGCCTGGTCTACGGAGCAGGTTCCAGGACAGCCTCCAAAACAATACAGAGAAATCCTGTCTTGAAAAAACAAAAAACAAAACAAAAATATTTATATCCTCTACCAGGCATGATGGCACATAACTTTAATCACAGGAACCAGAAGTTGGAGAATTTCTGTGGGATTGAGGTCAGCTACATGGTACAAGGTGAGATTGCCTGAATTAAAAGATAATCATAACCACAAAGACATGTTACACACACACACACACACACACACACACACACACACACACACACACTCACTCATCCCAATCTCAAGCAGTTAAAGCAATGATCAGTTGCTTTGATGGCTCAAAGATTCACTGGTACTGTTTACCAGCTCATGGTAAATTTTGATGGTTTTAAACTTCAATTCTTTTGATGCCTGACACTATAATAAAGCTGCAAAACTATGTAAAACCCCTCATTTGTGTAAAAATGTCAAATGCTGAGTAGTTTTATGACTCTCGAGATTTGTTATATTATTGTTGCTGTCTGTGTGTATGATGGGGGTACACACATGCCACAGTGAACATGTGGAGATCAGAAGACAACTTTCAGGAGTTCATTTCTCTTTCCACTGTGGGCTCCAGAGAGCAACTTCGGGTTGCCAGGCTCGTGTGCATGCACTTTTACCCACTGAGTCATCTCAACGACCCCAGAACTTCTCAGTAAAAAAGCTTCTGATGTTGGTTTGGATATGATAATACTCTGGCTGCTTTATTCCCCCTCCCTCTTCTTAAAGAGTGGTTTCTACTGGGGTAAGCAATATACAGTTTAAAAACTGTATTCTTCATAAAACGGTTGTCGTGATGATATCATCAAAATATATCTTACAAGGAAAAAAAGACTCGGAGCCCAAAGTAACACAGAAACCAAGTCATCGTTTTTTTCTCCAGCACAGCAGATTTTGAAAATGTCTCTTGCTAAGGGAAGCAAGGTTATAAGAGCAAGCTGGCTACCAACGGCAATATGTAAAGGGCTACCTTGGTCACAGGGAAGCTCAAATTGGTAGATGGCCATTAAATATCTCAAATCCAATAATCTGCAGAGAGTTGTAGAAAGGACATTTTTCTTGTATTTAGAATTTAATTATGCAAGAAATGTCATGTGAGAATAGCAGTTACTTTTCATAATTCATTCGCTGCATTTTCTCACTGCCATGTTATCACAGCTTAGTCAATAAAGAAGTGTCTAAGATGGGCATGGTGGCTCATGACTGTGATCTCAGCACTTGGGAGCCTGAACAGAAAGTCTGCTGTACGTTCAAGGTCATCCTAGACTATAGAGTGATGCCTTGCCTCAAACAGTAACAACGGAACATAGCAGCAGCAGTAGCAGCTATGTGTAGAAACAAGCATGGTAAACAGGTATGAGCCAGCTATTGCAGAACCCAGGACCTATTATTCTCTTTTATTTTTATTTATTTATTTATTTTCCTTCCAGCCCTTCCTTCTTAAACTGGGAACTACCTCAGGACAGTCAGTAAAGCCAAGACAGGGACAGATGGGGACAGAGGACCATTGTCACATGCTCAATATCTGACAGTCATGATGGGGTGTTGGTGCCCTAAGTGGAAAAAAATCAGTCACAACAGGGGCCAGCCAGAGGGTTCCATGGTTAAGGGCACACTTTCTGTCAAGGCTGATGACCTGGGTTTGATCTCCATGACCCACAAGATAGAAGGAAAGAACAGATCCCACAAGTTGTCCTCTGACCTCCACTTGCGGCTCCTCCCTCTACACAATATAAACAGATATCATTTATTAATTTCAATCCACAATAAAGTTGCACAAAATATTTGGAGAAGGGGGGTGCTAGAGACATAGCTTCCCAGCATTGCAAGAAAAGCAGTTGGGGGGAGAGATGCAATCTAAAGAGTAACCACTAAATATGGACACAAACATCTCAGTCTCAGTGTCTTAAGAGCGTGAACCCCAATGTTCACGACCCAAGGGATTAAGTTAAGGCCAAACTCTAAACTGTGGAGGAAAGCAGGGTGGGAGCTGGAGAGGATTAACACCAACAAAACTGAAGCAGTGTTCCATCATGATGACAACGTGCTACCAGCACTGAATGACTTCCCAGACTGTTGCTCCCTTCCAGCTATCAGATCTGTGGCTATCAGATCTGTTCAGCGGAAGCCTCGTGTGTGGCTGTGGTAGCTAAGGAGGCCCAGAGGGTCTCACCTCCTGCTGTACTGTTGCTCAAGCAGGCTCTGAAGCACTTTAACTGAGACAGCCACTTCAAAGTTCAAGATGAGAATTCAGAGTAAGAAACCAAGGCTAGGCTGCCACAATACATGCAGACGCGGTCGACGAGAAGGTTCTACTACTGGGCATATGATGAGCAGCTCTGGGAGTCTTCCGATGTGCTCTGTATTCCATTGCTAATGCTTACCTTTAAGCAGGAGTGGTTATAAACATAAAGAGGTTGACCAGCTCCAAAGCTCTTGGTCTAGCACTGATAAACCACTAACTTTTGGCAGAAGTTATTACAGGACCAGATACTGCACATACAATGAGTAAATGGAAAAATGCTGAGCAGAGTTGTGGGGAGGATGACTCCCATCATACAGAAGGCGCTCAACAACTGCTGATCCATATGGACACCAAACTTGGCAGTTTCGGAATGCTAATTCTTAGGAAAGCTATGACCAGTGTCAACAGTGACCAGGACAACTGTCAGGAGCCCTCTTATGGAAGAACTTCACAATGACCTTCAGTAACAAACCAATATGCTCACAATAAATCTTTTTTTTTTCTCAAGGGTCATCTGATCATTGAAGCCCTTAGTCAAGGAAATCCCTCATTAAGAACAGTGCCTCAAGGAGTCTCATGGCTATGACTGTTCACTCAGGAGTTAGGAGCTAAGAATCTACTACAAAAAGGCCTATGTACTCCTTTTACTCCTGTGCATGGGACTAGTCTTTGGCCTGCTGTTTTTCCTGCCCCAGTCCCCTCTTCCCCATGACATGGAGAAATGAGGCCCAAGGTGTAACACTTTCTAAAGAGAAAATCTCCTCAGAAGCTGTTTCCTTTGTGACTGTTGGGAACAGAAGGAGTCACCTCTCACTTGGCCTTGGGTAGCATCCAGGGACTTTCTGCAAGGCTTTGTCTCTGAGAAAAGCTGAAGACAAGAAGAAACATAGAAATATGGCAATGTAATGGTGTGTACACTGGCTTGAGGATGTATGGGTAATCCTATATCAGCACATCCCAAGAGATAGTCTCATATAGCCCAGGCTGGTCTTGAACCTTGCTATGGAGCAATGGGCAACCATGCCCAGTTTTATACCGTGCTAGGTATTGAACTCAGAGCTTCAAACATGCTAAGCAAACACTCCAACAACTGAGTTACACGCCCAGCTTCTGAGAAGATTCTCCATTTACAGAGTTGCTCCATGGTCCACATCTTTCTATAACACTGGGGGACAGTGAAAAGAGCAGGCAAAAGGCCAGTCACAACCACAGGTCAAACCACAGTATACGGATATGTAGGTCTTTTACAGTGCTATATGAGCCCCTAGCTACTGAGTAAAGAGACTGCTGGGGGCCAATGAAAAGGCGCAGCATTATGCTGAAAAGCCTGAGTTTGGTCCACAGTTCCCACATGAGAGATGGAAAGGGGTCAACACTTCAAGCTTTTCTCCAACCTCCCAATATCTGCCAAGGTATGAGCACTTACACACTAAGTAGCTGTAAAAATAATTTTTGTCAAGTCACCACTGAATTAAAGCTGGACAAAGGAAAATGGCCCTTTTCCTGTTTTGTTTTTTTAACCCTTTATTTTTTTCAGTCTTGGTCCTGTTTCAGTTAGGCTGGGAGAGCAACTGCTTCTGTAAAAGGAGTTTTCCTGTAAAGAGGTCTGAAGCAACAAAGGAACTCATTCCGAAATCCAGCAGCAATTTTTAACCTGGCATTTTGAAATTAAGTCATCAAAGGCATCAGAAACAAGGCCCTACGGTGGAAAAGTCTGTGACTTACAGGCCATTGTGTGGTAGATGCTGGGCCAGTACTGGCCGCTGTCTCTTTTCAGCCATACTCGGATGGTTCTGTGGAGACAAAGAGGGAGAGAATAGTGATTAGTCATTTTCTTTATAAAATCTTCTGAATGGCATATATAGCAGTTAACTGGACAGAACTGATCATCATCTAATCCTACAAACCAGCACACACGGAACAAGGACTGATGCCTGTGCCAAGCATGTGCAGACACTGTCACCGTTAAACATTGCCGTTAGTGGCATCTGACTCCTCGTACACATTAGCTTTTACTTCCCGTAAGCCCTAGCTCACCTCTTTCCAGATTCAGTGCAAAGCGAAGCAACCTCAGCAGAGAAAGTCTGTCACAAAGCTTTTACAAAGGCTTATTCTCCAAAATGTGCATAAAAGATGTCCAAGTCATGAGAATGGTCACCCTCTTCTTTCATAATTCAGGACAATTTTGTTTTTAATTTAAAAACTTCAACATTTTCTAATTGATTTTACAAAGTTATTCAAAGGGAAATATATACATATTCAGATGGAATTTAGTATATTATATATGGTATACATACTTATATATATGTATCACACAGTATGACCATGTTAAGTTATATAATGCCCAGAATTCAAGATTCCAAATATTTTTTTGGTTTGGTTTTTTTGTTTGTTTTGTTTTTCTGTATTGTTTTGGAGCCTGTCCTGGAACTCCTCTGTAGACCAGTCTGGCCTCGAACTCACAGAGATCTGTCTGCCTCTGCCTCCTGAGTGCTGGGATTAAAGGCGTGCACCACCAACGTCCGTCAAATGATTTTAATAACATAAACGTGTTCATTGTGTAGTGACACATCTATCAACTACTTTTCTGGGTAAAACAAATTGTGTCAACAAAGTCACATGACTGTCTCACCGAGAGACACTGAGGAAAGCAACAGGCGCACAAAGGCAGAAAAGCTGGGTACAGGGGCACACACACCTGCAATCCCAGACTTGGGGGGCAGGAGAATGATCGCCATGAATTAAAAGCCAGCCTAGGACACACAGCAAAACCCTATCCCACAGACACAAAACAGAAAAAAAATGAAGTCGCGTGCTTATGGAGAAGCAGTAAAGGCCTGAGGAAGGAAGAGAGGTCTAAGAGCCTCAGCGAGAGGGAGGCCTCCTTATCCACCACAGCGCTCAGCCTCCTGCCCTGGAGGAAACTGCCCCGCACTGGTCTCTGGCCTCTCTTTCATCAGGACACACACAGGGCTGTGAGGAAATCCTGTGTGTGCAGGAAGGTGACAAAGCAACAGAGCTGAAGGGTGGCAAGTGTGGGTGTTCATTGCAGAAGGACAAACAACAGGACCAGCGTGGGCCACTCCTGCCTTGCAGATCTCTTCTGGCCCGGTCCCCTCTGAGGAACTGCAGTCTCTTGGTGTCTGCTTTGCTCACAAGTTCTTCAACATCCACTGTCGTTCTCTCACAATCATGTTTGTATGTCTAACAATGGACTGGCAATGTACTTCACTGGGTAAAGGTGTTTACCATCAAGAATGAGGATCTGAGTTCAATCCTTGGTACATGGTAGAAGGGGAGAACTGACTCTCATGGGTTGTTCTCTGACCTCTGTCCCTTAGCCATACCACTCACACTCACACACTCACACACTCACACACACACACACACACACACACACACATACACACACACAAAGATGAGTAAATAAAAATATATTTGTAATAGCAACACAACAGTTAACAAATGTTGTCAAGTTTAGACTAAAATATATAAAAACTAAGTGTTAATATATATTTGCACCTATTTATCTAGTTATTTCTTTTTGAAATTCAAGACAAATAAAACTTCTCCATAGAGAGAAAACTAAAGAATAGCTGACTGGTTCTGAGGAAGGGGGCAGATTGTAGAGACGTGAAGAAGCTGTCATCAGAGAAAATGGTGAGGCTCTGGGATTGGTCACAAAAGCTGTGTCCACATAGTAGAACATGTCCCACCACTCTCGAGATCTGCATAGACCACTGTGTGTGACTAAAAAGCAATTCAACTAGACAATGATCTTCATTTACTAAATAGATGACATTATGACACAGCACACAACCCCATTTTATGTGTGTCGTAAGGCCAATGGAATCTGACTAGGTTGCTAGATCCAACTACCAGTTTCAGCATATAGGGAGGACAGAGGAACAGAGGAACTCATTAAAACACCATGACAAACATACTTCATAAAAGCAAGACTGTGGGAAAGTCTACACACAAAAGACCCAAATACTCCTACAAATAATTTAGAAGGAAAAACAAACTAAATGGAGGACGAGCTCAAGAAATATGTCAAATAATACAATGTCTTATTTGGATCCAGATTAAAAAACTATAAAAATAAATTCATGCAATCATAGTAATCAGAAACATAAACAACAGTAGACATTTGCTGATATTAAAATTAATATCTTTCTTCAGGTGTAAAAGTTGTAACTGTGCCACTGTGTAGGTTTTTGTTTGTTTCAGAGGTAATTGGTATTTTATTTTGTTTCCACATGATCTTCTTACTACAGTGTTACCCAGACTGGCTCAGGCAGGATCCTCCTGCCTCAGTCTCTGGAGGATGGGATTTCAAGTATGTACGCCATGCCTGGATAACTGTTTTGTTAAGAAACAAACAGTAATTTCTAAGTATCATGCTGTCCTTTCTCTACTGTCCTCAGCTTGGCCACCAGAGTCCAGGGACTCATCACTTTCACCCTAATCTCCTCATGTTGCCTTTTGGTCTCTTTCCCAGCCCCAGCAAGCCCCCAGTACACCCAATACACGCCCCAAGAAGCCACACTGTGTCTACTGCTACTATGCTCAGCAAACACCAGTGGTGATCACAAACACAGGATTCAGGTGGCAAACTTAGTTCCTGTAACTCCCCAACTCAGGCCCTGAAAACCAGCGAGTTGCCATATTTCGCGTATCCATACGGTCCTCCCTCTATCCAAGCTCTCCTCCCTCACCACTCTACCGTGAGCTCTTCTCTACAGACATGTCCTTCTATGTAGATGGTAGATTAGATACTATTTCAACACAATTTCTTCATCTAAAAATTTCCTGGACATATACAAGCATTACCCCTAGAACTGGTTCACAAAAGGGGCCTTATATATGCTGACTATACTCCATGTTGCTTAACTCAGAAATGCTGTGGCTACATTTGAACACAACAGATGATGCCAAAGCCGAGTAGTAAATTAAAGACCAACTCCAAGGAGAGTATTAAATCCATTCAATGACCACTTCCCGACTCCTGTCCAAATCCAAGGTACAAAGGGAGCACCTTAAGATCAAGTCATGTTCCACGCAGCTCTGTGTTAAGATCACTGGCTTTATTCACAACAGGACCATTGGCAGCTAACCACTGTCAAGATTTTTAAGTCTAAGGAAGGAGATACTGTGGGCAATTCACTAAAACTCTGCTACCAGGAAGGTCACAGATTTAATGGGACACACTTTTCCCTTTGTGTTCAGAAAGGGCAACAGGACATCAGTAGACCAAGAAAGGAGGAAATAACCTTAAAAGCCCATCTCTTCCACATGTCACAGAACCCAAAAAAACAAATCCACCACCTTCGGAATGGTATTTAACCTAGCCCAAGGCCACACTCAAGATTCCATTTAGCTGGACTCCAGCATTTGCAGCACGGTGTCATTTTTCTTTGTAGAACAAAGACCATGCAACTTGGTCTGTATAAATCCAACCCTGGCTAGGCCCCCAGTAAACTAGGAAATGGAAACTTTTACAGTATTCCCCTTGAAAACAGCTTATTGTGTAAAGACAGAGAAGGTCAGCATCGCTGGGAATCAGGCTCCAAGACTTCGGTTCTATGTCCCCTACCCAGAGTTCTGGTCTTCAAACCATCCCATTCCTTCCCTTCCTGTGCTTCGGAGGTCTTCTGTGTCTGCGGTTCAATCAAAACAACATTAAATCTAATCCCTGAAACACCAGATCCTCAAAATCTGTATGCTAAACAATGTTTTCCAATGTCATAAGGTACATGATTTCATATTATGATCAGAGTGTTTCTCCTTGTCTTAACATGGTTATAAGAAAACAGACTTCAGCTGGACTAGTTATTAAAAACTCAAGAAATTCCAAGCTAAAGCACTGACTAGTCAGCAAAGTCTGCTCTCCAGTAAGTTGAAAGCAACAATTGTGTGATGTTTTACTGAATGCAAATTACTTAAGTCCTTACAACTATATAATAAACCAGCTACATTAAGCACTGAGATCTGGTGGTTTTGTTTGTCTCCCATAAACCCAATGTTTCCTGACATAACAGTGTTGAAACTGCCCTGCCACCTGTAATGAACTAAACCAGCAGACTATTTCGTACTTGACAACTTTACTCCTACTGGTTTGTTGTTGATGTTGCTGTTAGAATTTTATTTTTGTTTTTTTGTTTTTTGTTTTTTTTAGGTATTGAGTACACTGTCTGCCAGAAAAGGACATCAGATCCCATTATAGATGGTTGTGAGCTGTCATGTGGCTGCTGGGAATTGAACTCAGATCCTCTGGAAGAGTAGCCAGTGCTCTTAACGACTGAGCCATCTCTCCAGCCTAGTCAGGTCCTGTTTTTCCTGCCACCTTCTCTATTCATTCCCCTCTATGGCCAGATGATCTCTGATAGTCCAAGAACCTAAAAAGAAAACTTTCTAAAAAACACTTTAAAATTGTTCATTTTTCTCCCAATGTTTGTTTTCAAACAATAGTGTGCTTTTCCAAAAGATACTTGGAATGGAAGTGCAACATTTCTTTCTGAGCCGACTTAAATGGTTTACAGGTTTCCCTACAGTCCTATCCCTGTGGAGAGCTCCACCACCAACCTAGAAAGAGAGCAGAGATGGTTCCGAGCTGTGATCCCTTCCATCACTGTGCAAGACTGCAGTTCTGAATTTAACTCTTCCATACTAAATGTCTGGGTCCTGCCCTGCTGTGGAAGATAAGCATAGCAACAACTCAAACAGTAGTGAAGTGCCCACTGCAGGGCTCAGGGATGTTTTGTCTGCATTCTAAATTAGAACATTTTGGCAA